CATTTTGATATATAAAAAGCAAACTTATTACACACAGAGTTAAATTCAAAATTCAATTTGAGCTAAAAAAAAACTCAAAATAAGCATTTATAAAAATGACTAATACTACATAGAGCATGCACATGTAAACTCATACACATCCTTTCAACTCACTGAAGTTTGTTCTAATGACTGACTTGAGAAGATAAGATTTAGCAGGAACATACACACACACACACACACACACACACATGCGCGCGCACACACACACACACACACACACACACACACACACACACAAAGTATTGTCTCCTGGACAGCAGAACATCTGTGTTGTATGTGTGTGAGATACAAAGAAAAAATACCTCATCCTGGACTATAAAGTCAAATGTAAATAAGCTATTTATTCTTTAGAGTAATAAGTTAGAAATTGTTCAGGAAGAACAAATTCAACTACCAATGCTGTTTAAAATAAGGAGTTCCTGCAATTAAGGAAGTTAGAGTCATTTAGAAATTTTAAGTGTCATTTTATTTACTCTTTCCTCAGTGATACTTGCTGAATGATGAATTTGGGAAGCGCTTATTATTCCCCATCCTTGTGGCACTTAAAATCTACAAGCAGATGCCATATTAAAGAATATTTTCTTTTTTGAATGATAATGGGAACCGAATGGCTAGATGTTTCAAAGAAAGTAGAATGGGGAAGTACGAAGTGTTCTGGATAGAAATATTTTATTTAATATAGTCAGAGGAGATTGTACTCAGAAAAGAAGATTCGGTAATCAAGAACCATAAAATATCTAGAAAAAAGATATTTTTTTAAATTTTTTTATTAGTGAAACACCATGAGGTACAGTTATAGACTTATAAATTTTTGTGCTTGGGTTTCAGTTATACAATGATCAAGTATCCATCCCTCCACCAGTGCCCATCCTCCACCACCACAGGTCCCAGCATCCCTCCCACACCCCATTCCCCCCGTCCCACCCTGCCTCAGTGGCAGGGCATTCACCCTTGTTCTCTCTCTCTTCTTTTGGGTACTGTGTTTTGCAAGAGAGGCATTGAGTGGCAATCATGTTTGGTTTATAGACTACTTTTAGCATGCTTCTCCCACCCTGGGAGGGTCCTCACAACACCATTTATTTGGTGCTCTCTTCTCTATCTGAGCTTCCTAGAAAAAAGATATTTTATGCAGAAGAGATGCAAGTAAGTAGAAGGGTTCTAAGGGGGTCATGGAGCAAGTCAAATTTAAGTGGCAAAATGAATGGGCTCACTATATTTAGTGCAGGACAGTGGAGCTATAGAATAACTAAGTCACAGAACTCCAAGCACAGAGAACTACAGGTCACAGGTTCTTTGTTCCCTCTGGGTAACATTAGGATCTGCACTGCCCTCGGGAACAAATACAGATACATAATGGGATGTCGCACCCCAAGTTCTCTAAGTCTGGCTCACTGGAGCCCTGTTTTCCCACACCCTGCGCTGCACTTGATACAGCAAAGGAACCTCTCTCCCCTCACTCTTTCTCTTTACCTGGGCTTTTCCAGAGAACATCACATTACCGATTATAACCATAATTATTGTTAACTGCTAATAATAGTTTTCCACGTAAAACTAGGAAAAGGTTATTCCTTTGCCCCAACATGTATTTCTTTTTCCTAACAGGATTTGACATACTAGGGACATGTTTGTTAAATGGGAGGCAGATCTTGAACCAAGCGCTCTGCAAAGGATTGTTTAATCTATCAGACCTCCTAAAAAAAAAAAGATAGTTTGGAGAAAGCTCCACTTCTGAATTATTCATAAAACCTTTAGATCCCTCATGTCCCTGAAAAGATTTAGCCTAGAGTTTTTGGCTTGCTAATTAAATAAGAAAAGCTAACTGACTTCATTCTGATTTACCTATCCAGAAACTCCCAGAAGAAATGAATCAGTGGAGATTAGAACAAGTACAAAAGCACTTCTTTTCTGTTTTCTTGAGGACATTACCCATTAAATCTTCTTTGTCTTCTCTACTTAATAAAATAAGGACCACAGGGAACCAAAAACAGGTAATCAAAGTGGAACATGATGTATCCCTCTTACTTACAGTTTCTCTTTTAGTACTTTAGAGAGGAAAAGCCTCAGGAAGCAAAAGCTGTCAGCAGTTGAGAGAAACAAACCTCCTAAGTACTTCAATGTCAACTAAACTGAAACCAACATCCTGGTGCAAACCTCAAAAGCATTGAGGAGTCTAGAATCAATATTAGAAAATCAAGATGAATTAGTAGAAAAATTTCTAGGCAAATTCTGAGTGAACTTATCATATATACTATGTAGTTCGGAGCTCTGTTCGGGGCAGGGAGGGAAACTCAACCCGCCCCCCTCCAAGGGGCCCTGGCAAGGACAGCCAGGCACGGGGGCAGGAGACTGCGCTGTTCTCTTCCGGGACCTGGGTTTTATAGTCTCTGGGTCTTGGCCGTTGATGGGATTACATGGCGCTGGGGGTCAGAGGGTGGGTGTGACCTCTGCCTACTGAAAGGTGGAGGATCTGGGTGGAGGATGTTCAGCCCCGATCCCAGCAGGCTTGGAGATCTCAGCCCCAGGACCCGCATACCTTTGTTTCTCTGCCGGTACAGAGCTCCGACAGCCAAAGACCTCCAAAACCAGCCACCACCATGCTGAGACCACTCTCCACATGCATGAAGGTACCGGCAGAGATCTCCAAGCCTGCTCGGATTGGGGCTGAGCATCCTCCACGCAGATCCTCCACCTTCCAGTAGGCAGGGTCACACCCACCATCTGACCCCCAGCACCGTGTAATCCCATCAACGGCCAAGACACAGAGACTATAAAACCCAGCTCCCGGAAGCTGACATCTTGTTATCTCATTCTTACTTTGGACAACCTGGCAGGTTACTAAATGTTACCTGCCCACACAGCAGAGTCTGGCAAACTCCCCGTGGTGTAACCAATATGCCAAATACCAGTAACAATGATGGGTCTCATTCTCCTAACCTTGTATATGGCACTTTTTAAAATCTCAGGGCTAGGACGAAGGAGATGTTACTGGGGCCTGCTCGAGGCAATCGACAAACAACAGGATGATCGTGATCGTGACTATGTACTTAATTAATAAAACAAGAATGTAATGATAATTATATTTGACTATGTATCATATTTAACATATTTACATAATGTTTTATGATATATAAAAACGCTTCCTACTCTTCATCTTAATTATAATTCACCACTATCTTACATTTTAATAAAATAAGACGGAAGTAATCAACCCAAATCACAGGAATAAGGTTTTGTTTATATTGATGGGGCATTCTTTAAAAGTGTTCAGGGGACCTAGAAGTCACTCAGAGACTCAGATTTCTTTTGCAAACCTATAAATAGGATGCTGCTCAATGCTTGGGCCTCTGGGGCTATATCTGGCATGCTTTGGAGGCCTTATGGTGCTAGAGAGCAAATCTGTGTCACTACACATACAAGACATGTGCTCCTCATTCCTCCTTAGCTACCTAGTCAAGCCCAGGAAAGTATTTTAATTAAATATTAAAAGCCAGGGCTCAAAAAGTAGTACAAAGGTAAAATGTTTGCCTTGAATGAAAGTGACCCGGGTTTGATACCTGGTACCCCATATTCACTTCAAACTTTGCTATGACAGACTCTGTCATGAGACACTGTGATTTATCACCAGGGAACATTTCACAAATGTCTGTAGATACCTCTGCTCATTAAACTTGTGTGTGGTGTGGGGAGACAGTAAAATACCACAATCAGGAAGTGTCAAGAACACTAATACCCTACCTCACAGAGATGTAAATGCAAACACAAGGAAGAGTCATCAACCCTAAAATAGTCAGCAGGGTCTAGGCCGAAAGACCACGCGCTGTACTATTTCCTTTAAATCACAGTCCACAAAAGCTGAATATTTTTTTCAATGACTTCTGACATCTTATTTCTACTCAAATAAATAAAAGAAATCTAGAAATAATTTGATTCACCTAAGAAATATCAAGATGGGAAAGTATGGAAAAGCGCAAATAAGAGAAAGCAATGAGCATGCATCAAGAACTGTAGAGTCTGGGATGGCAGAGGGGATGTGACTAAAGTCCACTGGTGGAGAAGCTTTAACATTTCAATGGTGGTAGAAGTGCTGTATCTCTGCATGCCAAAAGCAAACACAGCACTATTGGAACCATCAAATAAGACTAATAACGATAAATAATAACCATACCTCAATAATAATAACTATTTTTTAAATATCCACAGGTGTCTAAAGAATAACAGGATTCCCAGAGAGGTGCAGATATTTCATGGCCAAAAATGTCAAGAGACAGAAACTTGGAGATATGTAATCATATTGCAAAGTGATTACAAAACTTCGTTAAATGAGTCAAAAATTTGAATTAATATTGATAATTTTTTGTTTGTTTGTTTTTGAGCCACATCCAATAGTGATTAGGGTGTACTCCTAGCTCTGTGCTCAGGGATCACTCCTGGATGCTGTAGGAACTATATAGGATGCTGGGGATTGAACATGGGCTCAGTTACGTGCCAAGAAAAGTCCCTACCTGCTGTATTATAGCTCTAGCTCTGAATATTGATAAACTTTAAGGAAAAAAATCTTAATGGCACAGAAAAATGGGTTGTTTCTAGGAAGAAAACTCTGGTTGCATTTCAGGTGATGATCTAACATGTGCAAAGCTGGAAGTAGGGAAGGGACTACGTAGCTGCTGTAATAAACTAAGAGTTAAAAAGAAGTGGGCTAGTTTGAGGGCAATTTAGATGGGAAATGAGGACAGGAACAGAATGAAAATACATGCTTAGAGATTTTCAGTGCTGCAAAATACACACTTAAGACCTCTAAATAGAGCTAACAAACTTCTATTCATTTCTGAAGTGCACCAAAAGAAGATCATGGTAATATGTCAGTGAGTTAAAAAAAATGAACGGTTATCAAAGATAATGCATGATACTAAGTAATTTCTGCATACTATCTAAATCACGTAGAGTGTTTATGAGATCACCTGTTCCAGAACTTCTTTGTAGGTAATAGTTGCTTTAGTATTTGTAACTGGACTGTCATAGATGATAGCAATCTTATCTCCTTTACCATTTTCAATGTGACGGTCAATGGCATTGTAGCAAATATTAAGCATTCCTTCAACAAACCTGAAAAATAGTAAGAAAGTGAAAAATGAATGAGTTATGGAAATAGACTATTACTTATCTTGGTTCCTAAATTTCTAATTTGCTGAGCTTTCCATGAAAGTCTCCCCATGGCTGTTCTAAAAGGTAAAAATGTCTACAAAATAGCGATTTAAGATGGTACAGAAGCAACATTTTTAATATTTGTTTTGATGCACTAAAAAAATATACCTCACTTTTCAAAATGACAACTTTGTGTGGTTTATTACTTCAAATGAAACTTGGGTATAAACATCCAAATGATCTATTTTATATGGATAAAAAAATGCACAAAATTGCCACACAGATACATTAGGCTGAGATGGTAAACTGTAAATGCATGACTAGAGTTTGAGTGCGATAAAAGAGTAAACCTTTCTGGCAAATTCTCCTTTGAAAAAGCCAAATATCTTTTCATTTCAATAAAATTTGATGTTTCCAGATTCATAAAGAATATATAAACTCTTTTCTGCACATTTTGGATTCTTCAGAACTGTGATACATTAATAATGGGAATGTATAAAAATAAGTTAAAATTTTATGGGCCCAGCATGCTTCCATTCTGCTACTCTGCTACCCTGAAAACAAGTTGGATTTTTAAATACCTTTTCAATTCAATCATTTTACTTATTGACTAATCTATGTATTCTTTTGAAAATACAGACCTTATAAAATCAAATGATTTTCTTTTCTTTTTTTTTTTCATTTTAGGCTATACTCAGCTGTGCTCAGGGCTTACTACTGGTTGTGAGCTCAAGGATCTCTCATGGAGAAGCTTGGGGACTATATGTAGTGCAGGAATTTGAACCAGCATCATCTTCATGCAAGGCAAGCATCTTATCCCAATATAATCTCTCTGGCCAGAGAAGAACACTTTTTGAGGGAGTGCTGTGATTTCTTTGTGGAGGGAAACATACCTTGTGATGCTCAGGGCTTTTACTTGGCTCTGCTCAGTGGTCACTCCTGGCAATACTCAGGGGCCATATGGTATGCTGAGTATCAAACCCAGGTTGTCCATGCTAGCCATGGATAGTACAGACACTACCCACTGTATTATTTCTCAGGCTCCGAAGACACTCTTTTGCTGTTGTTTCCTTCCCCTGAAGACAGTTTTTTTTTTTGCTTTTTTGCTTTCTGGATCACACCCAGAGATGCTCAGCGGTTACTCCTGGCTCTGCACTCAGGGATTATTCCTGTCGGTGCTCCAGGGGCCATATGGGATGCTGGGAATCAAACCCGGGCCAGTCACATGCAAGGCAAATGCCCTACCTACTGTACTATTGCTCCAGCCCCTGAAGAAACTTTTTAAGAAAAGGAAATTCACCTCAGAGCACCATTGATGTGTCCTGAGAGCACTTACACCATAGCATTAACCATTAGCCCTGGTTACCAGCTTTATCTCTAGGGGAAGCTCTGGGGCCCTCTAGGATAACATTGGTTTGTCCTTCCTCCCTTGCCAGAGGGAGCTTAGGTTTATCGGGTTATACACATCAAAGTCTCCTGTCCGAGCCGGGCTGTCCTCGAGGGGCCCCTTGGAGGGGGATGGGTTGAGTCTCCCTCCCCGCCCTGAGCAGAGTTCCAAGAGCTGAAGACCTCCAGAACCTGCCACAACCATGCTGAGACCACTCTCCACACGCATGAAGGTACTGGCAGAGGAACAAAGGCATGTGGGTCCTGGGGTTGAGATCTCCAAGCCTGCTCGGGTCAGGACTGAGCATCCTCCACCCAGATCCTCCATGTTCCAGTAGGAAGGGATCACACCCACTAACTGTCCCCCCAACAGCTGTGTAATCCCATCAAGGGCCAAGACCCAGAGACTATAAAACCCATCTCCCCGAAGTGCACAGCAAGCTGTGAGCTACCCTGGCATCAAAATGGGCCAGGCTAAAGCGCCACAATACTCAACTATAAGTTGAGGGTATGGTCATGGACAAATGCGGTCATGATCCAAAAGTAACAATGAGATTAATACCCTGCTGGGGTTAGGGAGACTAAACTGGCCTGAGGACTGTGGTCTAGAATATATAGTGAGATGTCCTCAGGAAGAACCAAACTTTAAGTTTGATATATCTCTTATTGTGCTCATACAAAATGACATTGCTAGAAATATTAGAAGTAAATTTACTATAATGATTTAAGTGGATTACTAGCTGAGGAAAGGATTCCCTAAATGGAATCCTTCCTTGAGCATATCTTCTAGTAATCTGGAGTAAACTCCTTAGATGAGATTGTGTCCTTGAGTTAATCTCCTGGAAGAGTGGATGTACCTCTCTTGTTGATTTGTTAATATTCAACCCACCTTTGTATCCCCACCCTTCATGAGTTCTATATAAACTAGGCTGTAAGAGTGAACTGAGAGGCCAGAAGGAGAATGAGGAGAAAGCAAGGAGAAAGAAGGGGGCTGGAGAGAAAAAGAGGGAGTCTGGAGAGGAGACTGGAATAAACTGTAATTGTTACTGACCAGCCAGGCCCTCGTTTCTTCCTTTGTCTACCCATCGCCATCTGTGTCTCTGGGCTTGGGGAAGCAGAGACCACCGAATGCAAGTGGCAGGAGAGATAGAACATTGCTGCCCTTTAGAAAACACACAGGGGGCACGTCCTTCATGCCCTGCCAAGACCACGAGTTGCCCCCCACGAGTGGCTTTTCGCATGGACATGGCCCAAGAGGCACACAGACCTATTTCAGAACCCAGCAGCTTCTGGCAGAAATGTGAATGGACTATGCATTGAGCTATGGTGCCGTGCCCCTCTGGGAGGGAAAGGGTGTCTGTCTTCCACCATCCCCCCCCAACCCCCGGCAGCATCTTGGCCACCGCTCAGAGCTTATTCAACAGCCAGGTATGAGCCGGCAGTGATGGGGCAACTGCAGCCTCATGGGATGGGGAGGCAGAAACGGCACGTCCTTCCCGCCCCACTGAGACCATGAGTTGCCCCCCACAAGCACGACCATAGACCCAGAGGCACACAAACCAATCTTGGAACTATGAGGCTTTTGACAGAAATTCCTCCAGACTTAATTAGTAAAATGTCAGAAATCCAACATCATATGATCTTCATAACCAGCAAGAGAAAACAAATTATTTCATGATGCCTTTTCAGCAAGTTTGATTGTTGGGGGGAAATTCCAAATAATAATGGTGCATCTTTTGTTGAAATAATGAATGTAATCAAAGTAGAGAGAGAGTTAAGTAGAAATCATCTGCCTCACAGGCACAAGGAGGGGTGGCTTGGGGATATATTGGGGTTCTTGGTGGTGGAAATTATACACTGGTGAAGAGATGGGTGTTTGATCATTGTATGACTGAGACTTAAACCTGCAAGCTTTGTAACTGTTCTCACGGTGATCCAATAAATAAATTAAAATAAATAAATAAATAAAATTAGAAAATGCACAAAGCCCTCCTAAGCACTGCGTGGGAACCCCGAACAAATAAAAAAATAGTTATTTTTCTCAAAACAAAGAGTATTCGCTACTTTTTAAACTTATAAAATGTTTGTGTGCAATATTGATACATTTGTCTTAGTAATATTATAAAATGTTACAGCAATGCAAAATGCTTAGAAAAAAATCTTGGAGTAAGAAGAAAAAGTCCAGTAAAAAACCTTTACATCTTTAGGGAAGAAGCCCAATATGAGCCTAAGTGATAGTACAAAGGTTAAGGTGCTTGTCTTCCTTCCACACAGTTGATCCTGGTCCAGTATTAGACAACACAAATAGTCACATAGTCCCTATCAGGAGTGATCTTTGAGCACAGAGTCAGGAGTAAGTCATAAATACTGCCAGGTATGGCCCAGAAACAACAACAGCAAAAACAAAAGCCCAATATGAAATAAAGTAGTGAATGAAAGTAACTATAGTTATGGTGTCAACATTAAGAAATAATTGAGAAGAAATCTAGAGGAAAAGTCATTCAATCATACCCAATATATTTCATTATAATGAATATATCCAACTTTTAGCATACGCCAAAAGTAACTAATGCAATGATTCTGAATCTTTAATTCAATGTTAAAAATATTCTCTTTCCATTGATTCCTCTTCAATCAAATATACGTGTGTGTGTGTGTGTGTGTGTGTGTGTGTGTGTGTGTGTCCTCCATGAGTGGACAATAATTTCCTTGCTGGGCTTATTCTGCACCTCAGTTTGATTAAGCAGTAGATATGATGTAAGTAGAAACATAAAAGGCACTTGCACAACTTATTCTTCTGCACTTCGGAAAAGAGCTTCCAAGTATTACTACCGCCTCCTCTCAGCTAAACCCCCAGAATGAACATCTGCAGAAAGCCCAAGCCAACTAGATAACAGTGTTTGAAACCTCTCCAGTGATGTTCATGCTGGTATTAGGTAACTTCACGACAATTTATAGAGCCAAGGCAATAACTTCTAAATATTTTGTGATTGGGGAATTTTTATGGTTACTTGTTATGATAAGTAGAGCCATAAACTGCCAGATGATGGAAAACAGATCAAAGTTAGCTTAACATTTTGTAGCAGAAATTTTTTAAATGTCTAGAATTTCCTCACAAAAGTAAAAAAGTGAATTTTTATTAGTATGCTTTTATGTGTATGACTTTTTGATTTTATTTCTAAAAAATACATCTGAGATACATGAAAATGTGACTTTCATGAACAGTTCTTGATGATACAATTTTTCTCTTTTCCTTTAATGATCAATTCTATTCTTTGTGCTCAAGATCTCATTCTGTGAAAGAGATTTTCAAAGATTCATGGAAGATTCAAAGCATGATTTGCCTTATTACAATGCTACTTTTATGCTTGGCTCCTCAGTACATTTCATGAAATCTTTCTTTACCGTTTTCTTTTGTTGTTGTTTTTTGACAGAGCTATTCCACATCCAACCCTTCACTCACCCAGCATTCACTCCCTGGGTGATCACTACATTTCTCTAGTTTCAACATCCATCTTAAAACTCCAGCCCTGAGCATGCAGAGCTCTGTATCATTAGTGTCATCCATACACTGG